TCTAAAAGAATTTGAGAGGCCAGGGAGCTGTGGGTTGACTGGCAAAAAAATGAAACTGTTGAGGTCTTACAAATGCTCTTTTCTTACTTGCGGATAGTATTAATGAACTGTATTTGACAGCTAATTATATTAGGGAAAATATACTAATAGTTATCTTGAACTGGTGTTAAGTGGCTCATTTCTTGGAGCTATTGTCTGCTGAAATCCTCTGTAATTATTGAAAAGCTCTCTCTAAAAAAGTTTCTCTTTTAAGTTTAAACACAGAGAAAAATGGGAAAAAATGGATGTTGCTATGCTGCAAAGGTGCTAACAGGAGGCAAGTCGCCTGTTTTCGCATCTTCACCTCTGTTGTTAATGTATGCAGTGGCTCATCAAAGGTAGCTCATGTTAATTTATGACGGCACACCTGTACAGGGCTGGAAGTCAGGTAATAAGACAAGCAAAAACTATACGCCTCTGCTTTTTAGCTACAGCTACCCAGAGGCCTATATAGGAACAAATTTAGTTCTGGAGACATCAGCAGGTTTTAATAAACCAAATACAGATGTCTTACTCCATACAAATCAAGAAGTTTCCATGTTTAAATCTGGACTGATTTAACTAGCATCCAAAGAGAAGGCTCACACCTAGCATCAATGGCTGCCTCATATTTATTTATAAATCACCCTAAGCAAATATTTTCTTTTTGAATTTGTTCGTGGGGAGGAATCACCTTTCCTACACCTTGAGGATCCAACACATACAACTTAACTTTCTCCTCAAACTCGAAACCAACCAGGGCAATCCGTGGTCACTATTTCCAGAGAAGAACAGAATGAGGATGGTGGAACTCATTTAAGGTGAAAAACACAGAGATGGTGACTTCTTTCTAAGAAGATCGTCCAAATTTCTGGGCACAGCATCTTCATTTTGGCCAGAGGCATTTACCAATGTCGAATGACTGCAGTAGGCATAATGAACTTTACTGGATTACCCAATGATAAGGACCGTTAGGCCAGAGGATAAAAGGGTACCTAGTTGTTTTCTGAATTAAAAGAGGAATTGATAAATGGGCTTCCCACTCAAAGAGAAGTGATCCATGGCCAGTCAACCTTCCTGGGATACAAACCAAGTCGAAATTGAGAAATGACCAAAGGAAACTAAACCGGAGGCTGTCAGTTGCCCCTGCCTATGGTGACCCCATCTCAGAGCAGTAGGGTGCTCCTTGGGGCTGTCAGTGGCTGGTTTGGGGGAAGCCAACTGACAGGAATTCTTTCCCAGGTGCTTCCCAGGGAGCTTGCCCTGCTGGCAGCTGAACACACTCACCAATTGCACCACCCAGGCAACCCCACCGAAGTCCAGCTAATTCTGACTCCGGCACTGCCTTCAAAACCATTGCTTTGATGAAGCTACTTTGACGTTCTCCCCAAGGAGAATTCAGATGCCCATTTCAAAACTGAGGGCTAGGACAGAGGTTACTGTTACTAGGTGGTCAAGGTCAGCCTCCTCCCCCGACAGATCACCACCTCAGTAACAGAGAAGTCGGGAGACAGGAAAAGAGGAAGGTCATGGGTAGGCACTTGCACGTCTAGTGTTCTATAGAGAAGGTTATGGACACCCACTTGAATACTTTCGCAACTGCCTTTAAGAATTATCCGTCTTTAGAGAGAGAAAATCGTTTCTGCATCGCTTCCATGCTTCAGAATCAGTCAGTCTACCAGACACCTGGGGATGGGACGCACTGGAGTTTGTGTATGTTAACTTGCTCCTGACATGCTTGCTTTGGGATTGATGGAATTTACTCCCGTTTACAACTACCCGTGCAAGGCCACCTTTGAAACTGCTTAGACTCCTCAGCCCTAACAACCTGCAACCGTTACTTCTCCCCTCCCCAGACCACACAAGAACCTTCCTCTTGATCTTATAAAATCTAGAAAAGCTGTAAGCAAAGACCGGGAACATTCTGTGCACTAACTGCCAAATCTAAAGCCCGGCTCTTCACCTATCTCTCCTGCCACCTTCTCATCCTGCTTACCTGGAACGCGAGCCCAGCAACCACCGAGGTATAACCACTGGGTTGAAATGGAGCAAGGCCTGTGTGCTACTAACTCCTGCAAGGTGTTGTGAACACAATGATGAGGGTGGTTTTTGTAGAGCAAGAAGAGGCTCTCTCTGTTAGCTCTTGCACCCTCCAGGCCCCACAAGGAACCCCCTCCATGCTCTATTTGCCCAAGGAAGATGCTGTGGTGTCCAGGATGGAGGGACGGAGGCTCTGGGGCGAGGAAAGGCGTAGGCCTGCGGACAACAGGGTTAAAGACAAAGGAGGCCTTCTGTTTGGGACCGTCTGTTGGCTCAGGGAAAAGTAAGAAAGCCTGTCTTTGCTTCACGGTGAATCAGCAGGGGAAAAAGGCGAGCCACAAACTTCCTGGGGTCCTTGTGACCAACACAGACACGCTTCGGGGAAAAGCAGAGATGTGGCCCAGGAGGCTCTGGGAATGCGGAGGAGATTCAATTAGAGGCCCACATTAGTTGATGAACTCATGATAAGAGGCTGACACAGGAATACAATCACATGTCAGCATCTATTCCTACCAGCCAAGGCTGGTCCCCTGCGTGCGTCACTGTGTCTGTCTGCTGTCTGTGGCAGCTGCACTTGCACGACACCGTGGATTAATTCAAGCCATCGACTCAACAAATGTTTCCTAAGTCAAAGCTTTCGACCTGGAACCAAAAACCTCTGCGTATTCAAGAAAGGTTTTAGGATTTCTATTTTTTTTTTCTTTTAAAAGAGGCAAAGCTTTCAGACAAAGAGTTAAACGTAAAACCCACTCAACAGTGTTTGATGTTTCCATTTCTTTATCTTCATTTACCATGTGTGATTAAACTCCAAAAGTAAGAATTCCGGTGTGATGCGATCAGCCGTCTTCTGAGGGCTGCTCTGCCCTGTGTGTCTGAACCCATGAGACTGTTCGCCCTCTTCTTCCCACAAAGAACACCGAGTTAGTTTTGGCATGGCTACTCACTGCCAAGCTCACAATCCCTAGAATGAAAAGGGAGATCAAAATATCCCTCTGCTATCGATGGATGTTTTTTTTTTTAATCTCCAACGAGCCACTCTATCGAAGCATCTCCTTATGGTTCGAGGACATAAAAACACAGCACTGTGTTTGCTAGTGGTTGGACATAAAGGAAAAGTGCCAACTGCAGGTGGTTAGCATCTTGGTCCCGTAGCTACTTATCCCAGGGTGTGAGGACTTAAGATATTTTCAGCAAACCAACTAAATCATGACAGGAATCCATGCAAATAAGCAAAGATTTTGGCTTGCCTTCAAACATTCCATTTCCATAAATATTTTAAGCAGGATTTCATGAGTCTTTTATTTTTGTTTTTTTTTAAATCCAATGCATTAACCTCATTATCACTTGTGCACTCTTTCAAATTTAAGAGAACCAATCCGACTCACAAACGTTGGGGGCGGGGAGGTGGCGTCTAGTAGTGTGTTCTGTCACTCAGAGTCCAACGTCTCATCTGACGTGTTCCGGGGCTGTCAGTGATACAGTGAAACTGCGGAGACCTCTGGCCATAAAACATGTTCACAGAACGAGGTAAATTGGAAAGGGGGTGGGAGGACCTTTCAGAGAGCGCATTGTGCTTCCCAGGATGGTTTTAATGGGACAAAGAACGCAATTCGTGGTTCTTAGTTTGCTTTTCATGGATGGGACTTCTTTGATGTCCATGAACGGCTATCTATGTGGATATAGATATGTGACTACTGTTTTAGAAAAGGCTGACTTTCTAAAATCGAGACAGGTACCTTGAGAAGTACTCTTAAGGTGGGACGAGCACCAAGAAGTGGGTCGCGATGAGTGAGGATGGACTACAGGGCTGGGGAAGTGGGAGATGGCTGCTTGGAAAGGTCTGAGTTCTTACCATGTTATTACACTTGGCTCTAAAAAGGGACTCTACAAAACGCCACCGAAGGACCACGGCGGCTACATGGGAAAGAACTAGCTGGTGTGCACACGGCACCAGTCGGGCCACGTCTTATGTGAACAGAGCGCTCTGCTCACGGATATCGCAAGTGCAGGCCAGCCACGCTGCTCCCCCAACCCGACAACCATGACAGGTTCCCTTTCTATAACGTTTTCTTTGGGATTAAAAAAAAGAAGAGTTGTAGGTTTGAGACCAGCTGCTTCTGTTTGAGCCCGACTTTCTGCCCTGCAGCTAGCATAGCTTGGGTGTGATGTCATCTGAGGGCTGGACATGAAACTAGACATATACGCTCGCCTCGCCTGCCATGCACAGTTCCCACGGGAGACTCCACTCTAGAGACGGGCTCAGAACCCCTGGGGCATTCAAACCAAGAAACCCACACCACACCGCACCACACCACTTCCCCATTAACGACTTCTCTGGTCACATTGTCTTCTGATACTTTTCTCCTTCTTAAAAGAATTCAAGGACACACTGCACACTCATGTAAGGAAGGGTAACATTTCCGGTTATACCTACGGAGATGCAGGCTGTCTCGATGTCCTGGACCTATGGTTCTTTCCATCCGTAAATTTCTGTTTCTATATTGGATAAACATGTGTGTATGAAGACAATATATTGGTTTAATTTAAAAAGCCACATGTCAAAGCAGAAATATCTATTTCTAGATAACAGAAGCTGCGGCTTCTAAAGTGAAGGGTCATGGGAAAGCAGGGAACGGTGTAAATAGTTAATGGTTACACACCTCAATGCATGGAAACACACACACGCGCACGCGGGCACGCACACAGCGCACAGAAAAAAATGGCGTGCATTACTGGATAGGATGGCATATGACTGGGCATGCTTCAGCATCACAAGCACCGACCCTTCATGAGCATGGCAGCTTGGTTATCACGGTCACTGTGGACAACCCTCACAAGGCATCAAAAACATCTACGTCATGGTCTTTAACATTCAGCTTAACATGAGCGACACTGGTACCCTCCCCACCCCCAGCAGGAGCAGCCAATGGAGGTTTACTGACCTGTCCCTGCTGCGGCGAGAGGGGAAGGCGGCGTTGCAGCCAGCCACCGTGCAGACGTGCATCTCTTTCAAGTGAACGTTCCTGTAGTGGAGCTTCACGCTGTAGGAGCTTTTGAAGCTCTTCTTGCACACATAACAGATTTTGGGGTCTGGGCTAGAACACAGGTCCCCTTCCGGGGAGAATTTCTGGGGGCTGCCATAATTCAGAGACGAGGCAAAACTCTCGTGCAGGGCGGCCATGCTGGCCCCGCCACCATTGTACAGTCCGTACTGGCTCATGTAAAACATGTCGTAGGTAGGGTCTGCGAACTCTTCCTTCACCTTGATGACGTCCTGGTGGGAGGGCTCGTTGTGGTCCCCGTTGTCGGGCCGCTCGCTGCCCATCAGGACCTTGGCGCCCACTTCGCCGTGCAGGTGCTCATCGCCTTCCATGGATTCCTCACCGAGCTTGGGCTCCGAGCACTCGGACTCATTCTCAAAGTCCCGCTCAGGCTCCTGGTCCTCAGACGTCATGCTGTCGGCCCTTCGAATTTCAGTCCTTGAAATGCACCGGGTCCTGTTATGCTTAGAAAAGTCCTTCACAGACATCCCTGGGCTCATCTCCTCTTGGGAGTGGCAATGATTGTCGTGGCTCCTGTCGTTGACCACGGCTCCACCGTCGGTGGGGTCGTCGTCTTCGTCGTCAAACTCGTCAGCTGTGTCGATGATTTCCTTCTCGATCTTCACAGGCATGCTCGACTTCCGCGGCTTCTTCTTGGGCGCCAGGTCGGCACCAGGCTCGTGGGTGGCCATCATCACAGCTGGCACCATTGGCTCAGAGGGTGGGGGTGGGTGCGGTTCCATGGGACCACTGGGTGGAATGAGGGGGCTGGTGGGGAGGGAGGTTGGGGGACTCACCATTTCCCCCGGAGTGAGTAAACTTCTATAAAACGGAGGAACGGGCTGGACCGTCTTTAGCCCAGAAAACGCCAAATGGCTAGGGAGAGGGCTCTGCAAGGCAGGGTCGAGTGGGGGGGTGCTAAAGCCCATTGGGGGCCGGCCAGGGCTCGTGAGGGTCAGGCTTGATTTTGTACTTGCTATCACCGGGGTGGCGGCCCCCGACGTGGCGCGGATTAAGTCTTTGTCTCGGTTGTTCCTTAGCATGGGCATGTGAAGGCGAGGGTTGGGGTTCGCGCTGTGGCGATTCCGGCTCCGCAGGGAGCTGAAGACCATGTTGCAGCCTTCGATGGTGCACCGGTGCTTGATCTTCAGATGAACAGCATTGTAGTGGATTTTGAGGGTGCCTTTGTCATAGAAGGTCTTGCCGCAAGCATTGCAGAAGACCCTTCCTTTTCTGGAGGCTGACCCCATCCTTCTCATTCGGTGAATCCGAAATGAGCTTTTGGGGTGCTCGGTTTTGGTTAGGTCACTGACGGGGACAGAATTCTGAATGGGGGACACACAGGCTGGCTCTGTTTTGGGCTCCACGTTTGTAATGCTAGTCAGGGCATTTCTATTGGGTGTCTGGTCATTCTTATAAGGGGTGGGAGACACTTCGGACTCACTGCTCTCATTATAGTCGTTCTGCGTTAAAAGGCTTGGTTCCCGCAGCCTCAGCCCCGGCTGCTCCAGCAGAAGGCCGTTGGGAGGCAGCCCGAGCAGCGGGGCGGAGACCGGGTTGATGTACTGGAAAGGCAGCAGAAAGGCAAGGCTGTTCGGGATGTTTTCGAAGTGGTGGATGCTGGAAGGGTTGCTGCTCTCCAGGTGGGCGAGGAGGCTGGGGCTCCTGGTGCGATTATTGCTCTCGATGAAAGTCCTGATATCGGAGTCTGTCTTTGAAGACGGTACCGCCACCGCCTGCCCTTCTTTCTCCTGAATTGCCATCAGCTCCACTATGGATTTGGTTTCTCCGAACCGCAGAAACTGCTGCAGGGTGATAATCTCCTCTTCTCGAGACATGATAGCCCAGCGGTCCAGCACCTTGCCGGCAGCATCCTAGAGGCCGCATCAAAGAAACAACAAAGACAAACACGGAAACTTATTGATTGTGCATAATTATTCACGTGCATTTGAAGGTGCTCTGCCTGTTCGTGGAAGGCAGAGCCTCTGCGAGAGCAGGAAACAGCATGCGAGCCCGGTTAATACCCGCCGACCCACACAGCAAACTTTTCTGCCATGCAAATACAGTAATTAGAGTCACAGTTAGAGAAACAGATTGAGTTTAATAATGCCAGAGCAAACAAAACATAGACCACTGGGGCTCTGTGATCTAAAACGCCTCCAATACTGCTACTTTAACAAAAGTGATCTATGTTCCATGCAACTGTTTAGCATACATTAGTATAAGATGTGAACACTCGCTGTGCCACCCACGCTTGGTGCAAAAAAAAGGGGGGGGGTCCCTCCAGTCTTATTAAAGAGGGACACCATGGGAAAGAACTGAGGACATTTGGCAAAATTTACTTCTTCAACACAAGTAGACACGACGTTGGATTCAGCCAGAGAGAGTCCTTTCAGGAGGGGTGACGCACATTTCTGAGTCAAAAGGTGAATGCAGCGGCATTGCCCCTCCCACCCCCACCCACAGCTGTCTTTCCCTCCTCTCCTTCGTCAGGGCGATCTGAGTTTCGCCTAAAAGTAGGCAGTTTTATAAGGTACAGCAAGGCAAACTGCGCCTGAGAAAAGGAATTGGGCTTTTCCTGATAATTGATTGTAATCCTATGACTCCAAGTTTGATTTAGACTTAAAAGTAGGTGGCTTTTTTATGGTCTTGTTATAAATGACAGTTATAGATGTTTAGAGAGTAACCGTGTGATGGATTTAGAGAGAATAAATGCGTAAAAATGTTGTCTCTTCTGGTAGCAGGGGCAGTCCACAGAGAATACACACCAGTAATCACCAGACTATGTGTTGTTAAATATACATTAAAAAGCATTTTACACTTTCATTTTTGCTAGTAACTGAGATTTGCCTGGAGGTAGAACTCAGAAATCCTACAATGTAATGTCAGGCAATGCATTTCAGCATGGATTGAGACCAAGCTATTCAAGCACTTAAATAATGACTCTGACATTTTCTAGGGCACAGTTTCAACCAACAGGACAGACCACTTGGCAACCCTCTGTGAGCGACACTGGTACCCACCTCGACCATCCATTTACGAAATCAAGAACAAAAACGGCAAGGTAGATTTTCCTCCTAGCTTAAGGTGACCGGACGTCCCGCTTTTGGCGGGACAGTCCCAATTTTGAACAATTTGTCCCGTGGCCCGCGGCGTTTTAAAAAAGTCCCGATTTTTTGAAAGAATGCACGACAAGCTAGGGTATATGGTTTTTGGCTGCCATGTGGCTATTTCACCAGGATATGAGGTTTATCAATGGTGTCCCGCTTTACCAATGTTGAAATCTGGTCACCTTATCCTAGCTGGAAGCATCATAACCTTCCACTGGGAAAACCCAGGAGATGCCACCTTTACCAGGGATAGAAGCTACCATCTCCACTAGTAAGGCTCAAGCACATTAGGAAGGGCCCGGCACCACTGCTTCGGTGCATTCTTGAAGGAAACGTAGGACCCCCATTGTCATGGTGAGAAAACCAGAACTGAAGGGTCCCATGCAAAATAGTGGCCAACCCACTTCAAAGGGTCAAAATCAAGCAGTATTTTTTAAAAGATAAATTTCTTTCTTTTCACTGCCATCTCGTCAAGACCAACTCAGGATGACGTGACAGGGCAGGGAAGAACGGGCCTCTGAGTTCCAAGACTGTAACTCTTCACGGGAACCCAAGTCCAAACCTTCTCCCGTGGAGTGGCTAATGCTTTCAAACTGCTGACCTTGTGGTTGCAGCCTAACCTTGTGGATAGTAGCCCACCCAGGCTCCTAAAAAGGAAAAAGAAATTGTCAGACCATTTTAGTCCCTGCTAAAAGTTTTAAAAGTTCTTATTAGTTATTATTTTAGATTAATATTATCAAATTATTTTATTAAGATTAATAAATTATACTATTTTATAATATTATTATAATAATAACTATTGTGTCAAGCACATTTGTACATTTGTTGCCATCATCATTCTCAAAACATTTGCTTTCTACTGGAGCCCTTGGTATCAGCTCACTTTTCCCCTCCCTCGCCGCTTTCCCCTCCCCCATGAACCCTTGATCATTTATTTTGTCATATCTGACACCATATGACGTCTCCCTTCACCAACTTTTCTGCTGTCTGTCCCCCAGGGAGGAGGTTATATGTAGATCCTTGTAATCTGTTTCCCCTTTCTCCCTCACCTTCCCTCCACCCTCCCGGTATTGCCACTCTCACCACTGGTCAAGGGACATCTGTCCTGGATTCCCTGTGTTTCCAGTTCCTATCTGTGCCATTGTACATCCTCCGGTCCAGCTGGATTTGTAAGGTAGAATCGGGATCATGATAGTGGGGTGTGTGTGTGTGTGTGAGGAAGCATTCAAGAACTAGAGGAAAATTGTAGGTTTCATCATTGCTACACTGTACCCTGATTGTCTTGCCTCCTCCCCGCAGCCCTTCTGAAAGGGGATGTCCAATTTCCCACAGATGGGTCCTGGGTCCCCACTCCCCCTCATTCACAATGTTGTGATTTTTTTTTTTTTTGGTCTTTGATACCTGATACCTGATCCCTTCGACGCCTTGTGATCTCACAGGCTGGTATGCTTCTTCCACGTGGGCTTTGTTGTTTCCCAGTTAGATGGCCCCTTGTTTATCTTCCATCATATAGGACCCCAGATTCTATATCTTTGGACAGCCGGCACCATCAACTTTCTTCACCACATTGGCTTATACAATGTACAAATATATATTTGTAACATTTTTATTTATTTTACTTATGTAACATATGATATTTGGCAACATATGTACAAATGTGCTTTGTACACAATGGATGATAAGAGTTGTATGAGCCCCCAATAAAATGATTTAAAATAATAACAATATAACAATAGGACTTTTAAAAGATTAGCAGGGACTAACATGACAGGACCAATATATGTAAGATCCTAGACATACTAGACCAGGGACATGGGGGGGTGGGGGGCGCGTAATGTTTGAATCAAGGCTGAAGATTAGTTAATAGTATTGCATCAATCTTAATTTCTGGCTACAACAATTGTACTAAGGTAGCCTACGAACTTCCACTAGGAGAAGTAGAGTTTGGAACTAAGGGAATTATACTATTTTTGAAATAAAAAATCTATCTCCTAGTGGAAAGCCTTCTTCAGGCTTTGGATAGAAGAGTGTCCCTGATCCGTAATGGTCTGAATCATGACAGTGAGTTTGAATATAAAGAGATGCACTGACAGGTAAGTGGTTGCTCTTCTTGGCTAAGCCTTAGTACTTTCAATCATTGCAGGTACAGTGTATCCATCCATCCTGCCACAGCCTTGAACTCCTATGAAACAGGTCTACTCTGTGTAGTCGGGTCACAAGTTGGACTCAACTTGACATTAACAACAAAAACAACACACTGTGTGCATAAGAACTAGCAGGTGGATGTGCATCCCTGCATAAACTGCCAAGCAGATGCCCTTCCCCAACTCTGGAAAGGAAAAGTGTTCTTCAGCTCCAAGAACTGACACTCACCTGGCTCTGCTCAAGGGTGACATCTTAACGTGGGCATACCTGCTGACCCCAAGTGATCCTGCGCTGGCCATCTGAAAACACTCCTCACTGACACCAGAGGTCTCCCTATCTCCCGTTTCTCCTCCTTTGCTTTCTTTCTTCTTCCCTCCCTCCTTCTCTTTCTTAAAGATGAAGTGAGGGGAATATAGATGTTTAGGTCAACAGAGACATAAGTTGCGATTTTATATAATCTTATTTGAACCTCATGATGGGGTCTGGAAGTCAGCATATGTTTTATCAAATGAGAAACCAAAGTCAAAGATAGGGAGATGGCTTATCAAGGTGGGCAAGATGCTCACTAGGGACCCAGGACTTGAACCTAGTGATCCTGCTCCAACATCATTGAGTATCTCCATGGTACCTGTGCTGACTTCCACATTGTGACCCTATTTCCCAGGTGAGCACGTTGAGTTGTGACAGAAGACGTAGCCCAGGGCTGGTCACTAGAGCACTGTGCTATTGCTCTGTTCTACACCCTCTTTCTTTTTTACCGTGAAATCTTTTCACTGTGGATTATTGCTCCAAATTGGTTTGAACTGGTTTAGCCATGGCTGATGAAGCAAAATCAGAAGAGGCCTAACATTTTACAAACTGGGTGAAGTGTAGTGACACCTGGAACTGGAAAAATTGTGGGTCAAAATCCTGGGATGAGAGACTCTGAAGAGGTGTACTGGGCCCTTTCAACGGCCCAACACAGGAGACTGGATTACTGGCAGTACAGTCAGCTGCCATCTTTAAGCAGGGCACCATTGTTTCCCACTCTGCTGCTCAAGAGACGGTTGCTATGCAATGTGTACACTGACCTTGTTTTCAAAAAGGGAGATTTAAATTCTAGTTGAGTAAACCTGTAGTTTTTCCCATTTTTGTTCATTCGTTTCACAAATTCGTGCCTATCCCAGGCTCACTTGTTGGCGATGAAGGACCAGTCTGAAGCTTTGTCTCGCTCGGGCTGTGCTCTCTCCCCTCCCCTCTCCTCCCCTCCTCCTATCTGAGCTGTCCCATCTTTCCCAGGTAGACTGCATTGAATCTGCACATCGATAATGTACTTACACAGCTGGAGGCCTCTGGCATTAAAATATGCCCCGGAAACCATAGCAACTGATCAAACCCACCGGCGGCATCTCATTTCCATCACCTTTCTGTCTTCCTTCTCCCCGTGATACACCGATATGATACCCATAGGCTTTCTCTTTCCTCCTGGCCTGCCACAAGGCCAGCTGCTCTGTCTAAAATCACCCCCTTTCAGACCCTTTTAGTCCTCAGTTGTCTTGGTTACAATGGAGATGGCTAAGCGGAAGAACTGAACTCCCGGTGGAAGAGGTTCAGGTAAGCACGACTTAGCACTGAAGAGG